AACTTTGTCAGCTGCCTCGTTAATCGGGATACCGGGGTGCCCCGGCATCTACCCAACAACGATGGGCGCCGTATATGAACAGATGGAAGCCGCCAGGTCTATGATGACCGCGGGTGAGGAGAATATGACGTCAGCCACCGCTTGTAAGCCGACGTACTGTCTGAAAAGATCGCCGTCGGGCGGTGAAGTGGTTAGCTGAGTTGAATTGCCCACAGGATTCCAAGGGCTTCTGCCCCGAAAACGCCACATCGATCCTCTAGGCTCCAAGTTTCTCGGATATAGTGAGCGGGAGGACCACGCCGATGACAGTATGGCTTTATGAGTTTTTTTTAGGCCAAAGGGCACTTTGATGCCTTCTGCTGGCAATAAGCAATGAGCCACCACGCTATAACTCTAATAATTTTCATATCACCTTGAGACTTATCTGCGTGCCAAGTTTCGCAGCGGCACGACACCTCATTTTTTATGCGCTTTTATGGCAATGAGTGTATTTAAAAATTATAAGATGCTTAAATTATAGTGTATTTAAAATTTTTGCAAGAAATTTGAAATTACAAAAAAAAAAAATGTCACAAGACGTCATATCAACTGATGTAGCGTTACGAAGAATTTTCTTGCTTAGCTGCAGTCGCATTATCTATATATATAACCCATTCAAAGTGTCCGTCTGTCCCGTAACCGTTTGATAACGGACACTAGAGGCGCCCCTATCATGTGTCATATTTCAAACATTCAAATTAACAATTTTAATTATTATTATTCATTTGGCCCATAAATTATTATTTGGTCAATATAACAATATAAATAATTCAATATATTTGTAATAGGAATTTATTATTTCAGGGGCTTATATCTCACGAAGGGTCGCGAGTAGGAGTATGGTTCCTTTGACTTTATTGTTCGCACAGTGGCTACAGTTTGGGGGGGTCGCAACCTCTTCATTCGGAGGGTAAATCTTACCATAGGGACTTTAACAGAGCTGTACATCATATTGATAGGAACAAAAAAGTCAAAGGAACCGTGCCTCATGGAAATTTGTAAATAACGCCCACTAGGGGCGTCCCAGGCTACTAGTTTACATATATTCTTGAAAGTTAGATACTATATGAACATTGTCTTAAAATCATGGCTATAGGAGGTGATTTGATGGGGGCTAAATCCTATCTAAATGATTTTTGAGTTTCTATCAGGCTTTCTTGTTCTGGTGTGTTTTTCTATTATTTGATTATTTTATATAGATTTCATTTTTAAGATTATATTTTCATGCTTTTTTGGAGCATAGTTTCTACAATGTAAAACAAAATTTATCTTGTTTTAAAATTTAATAATCACAAAGAATTAAAGATTGCAAAAAGTAACATTATTTTATAAGAAAAAATTTCTGTTTCAGAATGCTGCTTGGACAAACATTTAGAATGCTGTTTCAAGCAAAGTAGATGAACAAGGACCATTTCTTTGCAATGTTTTTGCTGATTTTGGGAGTTCCAAAACTATGGGCTTAAGGAAAGTACCTCGACTGCTTACTCATGTATGTAGCTTAGTATGAATGTCTCATATATATGCCCCTGAACAAGCTAAGGACTTTCCTTAAGCTCATAGTTTTAGAAGCCCAAAATCAATAATAAATATTGCAAAGAAATGGCATGTTTGTCACTTTCCTTGAATCTCATAAATGTGTAAACAAGGCACTGCTCAAAACTGATTTTTAACTAACAAAATCAAAATGTCATATTGCAAATTAATGAGCTATAAAGCAAAAATTACAAAAGTGTTCAGTTGTAATGATAATACACCTGCATTACAACATTTTAGCCAGATATTTTTTGAATTTATCAGTTTTTATTTATTATTAAAAATGAATTTTGAACCATTGAAGAAGCCACAAATCTAAGTCAAAGAAATTATGTTTTTTTCTTTTTATTTTAAATGCTTTTAAACTTGCTCTGTATCATGCCCTCAACTCTTGCAGTTCAAATTTCACTCATTTCTAATTAATTAAATTAATATAAAGGCTGAAACTTTGAGAGGACATATCTATGTCTGATGACAATGCATTTTAATGATGTTTTAGGGGTGGTCTTACCCAAAAACCTGATAAACCTAACTGAGTATAGAGTGTAATCATGATGTGTGCATAGATATACTAATATAGTGATATATGTGGTGAGGGTGGATCCACCCCAGTCACAAAAAAAAGAAAAAAGACTAATAAAAGTAATTCTTTTTTAATTTTTAAGATATTAAAATTATTTAGAATTGAAAAAAATTTAATTAGCTGTCATGTAGCATGATAAAGAAAGATTTAAAATTTAAATACTTTCAACATTTGCACGAAATTACATTTTACTTCAGAAGCAATGAAGCGTATTGCCTGTACTTGGGTGAACAAAGGCTAACTGATTAAATATTAACTGCTACCTGGCCACTTTCACATCATAATTTATGTGAAATAATTACAAATGTAGTTGAAAATGAAGTAATGTTTAGTGGTGGATTGGTCTGCGGCTATGACGTCACAGATTTGTTTGCTAAAATTTAGTTTTGTGACATGTTTTCTTTAAAATATGATGGAACAGATCTTTATGGAGGTAGGCAAATCTAACAAATATATTCTATAAAGAAAAGGATTGAAGGAAAAAGAACAAAATCTGACGACACCGCTCAAGGTGAAGATATAATGCAGATAAAATTTCAATTGTAACCTTAAAACAAGGACAGTTGAAGTTTTCAAAAGGATGAGTTTGAAAAATTTAAGTGGCTACAATATTTTTTATCAAACTTTGCTGTATATTAATACTTGTAGGAATTTTCAGCAGTTAGCAAAGGAAAATACTTAAACAACGACTGGTTTCAGAAACTGAAAATATGCATTAGATAAGATAAAAAGTTTTTCTTATCTGATTCTTACCAAATCTTACACTTGTACAATAGTTCTGACAATGTGGTGTGAAAAGCAAATATGATTATCTGTAGGAAATGAAATATTGACTATTGTAAATAGTGAAGTTTTTGAGAAAAATGGTTACTGTATAACCTTGATTATAGAAATGTTGCAGTTTTTGATAGTTATTGAATTACCAATGTGTGAAACATGTGATTATAATTTTTTTTTATTCAACAAGTCTTTCTAGTTTTATTGGAGATGATCTATAATCATTAAAAAGTGATATACTGTAACAAGAAAATGAGGTTATATAATTAATTTTATCTGTAATTTATGTTTCATGCTTGTGTGCGAGAAACAATTCTATCCTTAGATTTGTATCATTCTGTTTGCCATTTTTCCTGAAGAGGACAGTTATGTGAAACTGTGAAAAGTACTTGTGGATTAAACATATTTTTCCGTAACACCAATAGACAGTTTTGTGACATCTTTTATTAACACAATTAATGAAGAAATTCTCTTCAAATTGATATCATATAGTAATAGTTGAATTTAATTGACAGTTTATTGAAAAGCCATGTTCTCTTAGCAGCTCTTTCATCAGCAGAAAATCTCTTTTATGATGGAATTGATCATTTAAAACAGTTAAATATTTCAATATTGTCAAAACAAGAAATCATTTGTAGCTAAGGAATATTTGAAGAAGTTTATAAACAAGTTCCATTTGGAAGTACTTACATAACATTATACACCACTAATTTCCTCTATTACAATATGGCTCTTGTGAATAAACACTTTCTGTGCTAACTCACATTAATTCATCTCCAAGATTATCATCATGTTATCAGAGGCTAGCAAATTTATCATATTTGCCCTTTAAAAAAATTGTTCAGGAAAAATTCGGAAACAAAATTAAAGTTTAACGAATCTGGAAATTGTTGCAGATAACTGTTTAAAATTTACCTTTGCCTTTAATTTTTTTTTTTTTTAATTCTTGCCATTCTGTGGGCACTAAGAAAGCCTTTTTATCAAGCCCATTGGTGGTTTGGTCAGCCTCACAAAGGGCAGTAGGTGGAGCGGGATGGGATCAATACATCAGAGCAGGACCACACCAAAAATTTGTGTGGATTTTTTTAATCTATCTTCATTTTATTGTGAAAGTAAAATAATAATTTGCCCAGTTTTACATTCTATATCAGGTTAATTTGTTAATGTTAGTTTTTATTCCAAATGTCTTCATATTCCTATCATGTAGTTGTACCATATCATGCATAGACTATATTATTGTGCAGTATCACTGTACAACATTGTTCACAGTCATACTCCACTGTACAATATGACCAAGCACAATTTCAAATTTTTAGTTATTTAATCACACAGGTCTGTTTTGAGTCAATTAATCCTCAAAATATTTTAATAAATATAAAAAAAGTTAATAAATGTATAATAATGTATTAAATATTTTATTGGAGTGTTTAAAATCGATTAAATTCAAATTTTTTGATTCATTAATTTGTTCTCCGGACAGACAGAATTGACTCTATACTAAAATAAAACAAATATAATCAAAGCATTGCTACAACAATAAATTAAATGATTATATTCTAAAAATAATATAATAAATTTGATTCACAAAATGCTTTTATTAGTTGTTTTACTCTAAATATTTAATTAAATTACAGAGAATTGAATTGAATACAGTAGTTTGATTTTGTTATAATGGGCTGATATTTTATTAAAATATGATCAAGAGTAATTAGTTTGTAAAGATACAAAAAAATTTTTAAAATTATAATAGTAATAATAATAATTCATTAAATTGAAATTAAATTTGAAAAAAAATTTTGTTTTATTTTTTCCTTTCCTTTTTTATAAATTATGGATCTGCAGATTGTTCTAATTACTCTTGATAAGGAAATAGTGTGTGATATCGTATTTTTCTCATTCATTTATTTGACCTTTCATAATTAATTTATAAAATTAGATTTATTTTTGTAATAGTGATACATACTTTTAGTTTTAATCAGAATAGAATATTTAAAAATGATGATAGATACTTTAAAATGCTTCATTGTTTTTCACTGTTCTGATATCTGTTAAATTTTTGAATTTTCAGGCAGCTATCTGGCATGCATTAGATCATTATGCTTATGGGGATGCCATTTTCTTGGCTGAAAGGCTCTGCGCAGAAGGTAAGTTATTTTTAAAATTAGTACACATTGTTTGTAAATTTTATCATTTGTCAGTAAGTAACGTTTGAAAGAATTTTTAGGAAATAAAATAATTTTGTGTTTTAATTTGAAACAGAATGAAACAAAGTTTACTTAGAAACATAATAAACATCACCTTATTTACATTTGTACATTTTAATGCAAGATTTAATCAGTTGTATACATTACACAATATTATTTACGTGATATAATTCTTGTAGGAATAAAAATATTGAAGAGAAATAATTGAATTAATACCTTGAAATTAGGTAAATAGTGGCATTTCTTGTTTATCAGTTTTGTTTTTATTTTTTTGTCAATTAGAATAAATATCTGAAACATTGATGATAAAGACAAAACAAACAGTATGTTAATCAAATTACATTTACAGTAAAACCTGTCCAACTTTAATAAAATGGAAATCTGCCTAAGTGGGAAAAATATTTGATACTGTTCAAGTCTGATTTACACAGGTTTCACTGTATACTTTTATTTAAAATCAAGATTTCAATCATGTTATCATTAAGAAATGCATGTTTTGTCTTTTAAGATGTTTATTTAGAAATTTATGTACAGTATATTCAATAATTAATACATGGAAACTTTCATGAGTTTGTCTTTATCGTTAATCATTCTAAATTTATATATCTAATTGATTAAAAAAATTCTTTATGTTAGCCAACAACTGCTAAATATAAACTTATGAAATATATAAATAGATTCAAATGTCATTCTATATATTTATTCAGAAAGGTTGTTTCCAATGTCTTGTAGTTGTTTTTCAAAGAATGTGTCATTTTAATATCAGTGAAAGATCACTTTCTTTGTATAGTAGTATCTTTTTTTAGATTGACACCTTAGACAGTAGATTTCTTTGTACTTGCTCGTCAAAGATATTTGCAGAATGTTTTTGTATTTGTAACATGTTTTAATACTAAACATTGAATAGTTTGTGATATTTTAAAAATACCCTAAACTGTTTTCTTCTAACTTGTGTAAATTTGTACACAATTTTTTAATCTTTTGAATTATAGCTTTCATTAAAAGTTACAAAATCAATATATGATACATTTGTTGATGTTGCTGCTTAAACAGTTTGGTACTTTACTTTTTGTTGAAAGTTCAATGTTCTGATTGATATTCTTTTGTATAGAGTAGATATATAGTTTAATCTACAATCTGCTTTTGGGAGTTTTCTTTTCAAGTATGTTATTTTGGAATTTGTACTTTATTGTTACCGGTTCTACTAAGTAAAATATGTATAAATTTTTGTTCCTAGTGCACTGTAACTATTTAACTGATACACTTAAAGCATTTTTATTTTTAGCAAAGTTCATTTATGGTTTGGTTAAAAAATAATAATACATAAACTGAGTAAATTGATAATTTTTTTAAACATGTAAAAAAAGAAAATAATCAGTTTAATGTATGGTTTAACTGAGATATTAAAATTAATATTTAAAATTAATTAATTAAAATTGTATATGTTACAATAAATTATAGCAAAGTAAAAAATTAAAATCTCTTGTTAAAAATTAGGTTATAAAATAAATCATTGTTTATTAAATAACATATTCTCAGCATTCTTCAAATATTATTTATTAATATTTTAAAAAGGTATAATAATTGATATAAAATATTTATACATTTCTATCTATATTCATAAAATACTTTGTTAATAAATTAAAAATAACAGCTTTCATATGTATAAACTGTAATCATATCCACAGGTCAACAGACTATATTAGCAATATAAATATTAGAATATAATAACATAATATCAAATAATAAATCACACTATAACCAACAATCTAATAACTAACTTAAATAAAATCTTGTTTGGGAAGTTGAAGCAAGACAATAAATATTAAGTCAATACTTTGACTATGATCTAACTCCGGTTTCCATAAATATTTATTTAATAAAATCAGTTTGAAGAAATAAATTTATATTTATCTACGCATATTATTTTCCCTCTCTCCAGTCTGCTCTAATTTTACATGAAGTCTGTACTGTATATTAAAAGTTAAAATTCTAAATTACTGTTAACTTATGCAATTGCTAAGATTAGAAGTGAATATATATTTTAAAAGTTGCATTAAAAACTACTATATTGTAAAGTAATTTATACAACAATTTCACATACAAAGTTAATTTTAAGGTAGTTGATTTTTTTGCAGAATGTCCCTTGATGATTTAATAATTAATTGTTAAAGTGTGTTTCTAAAAAAACATTTGTATAAATTCATATTTTAAAAAACAAATACGATGATGCATTGTTATTGTATATACAGTTTATATAATTTATTTCTATTATAAATTTAAAAAATTAATGTGTCATTTATTCTAAACTAATTACGTTAATTAATTTGTTTAATCCATTTCATTTTATAAATTTTCTTTCATACAATGTACATAAATTGTAGCTAGAATGTGAAAATATTAAAACACAATCAGTCCGTTTCTTATATGTAGGTGTAAACATTAAAAATTGTATTTAAATTTTAAATAAATCCTTACTTTATATCAAAATTATTGAAAGTATCACATATAGTTTAATCAGATGCTCTCTTGCATGCATAGAAGTTATGAAATATTCTTGGAAGACAGTATTAGTTTACAGTTATATAATGTAAACTGTATAACGTATATTACACAGTTTACAATTTGTAAAATGTTTAATAATATTTATACAAATAAGATAAACACAGATAATATGATTTCTAATACTAAATGATTAAAAATAGTAATTTTATTCTTAGATACAAAAAGTTTTTAAATTTGGGATGTTTATTAATTACATCTACAATATTTTGAGACTTCCTTCTGCTCTCCCTAATGATGTATTTTTGTAAATCCCCTCCTCTTTGTGTGTATGATACTTCATGGACCCCAACATTAAAGAATATTAAACATTTCTTGTCTATAAAATTAACTTACTATATATTTCTCTGAATCTAAAACAATTCCACTCTTAATTAATTATTTTTTTTAGGTGAATTGGATGATGATTAGCAAGTAAATTTAGTTTAAAATAATTTATTAGAGTAAAAATGTTAATAATGTATTCAAAATTAAATATAAATGAGAGGAAATTTTCATACTTTGAGCTTTTGAATAATAATATTGGCTATCCAACATTCAAGAAGCATTTTGAATTTAAAATGTTTCCAATCCTAAGTTCAGAAACGTGAAAAAAATACAGTATTTATTTTGTAAAGTAAAAAATTACAATGTAATAATTCATAATAAAGTGTAAAGTGTAGAAAAATTTACTAAATAAAATTGAGAATTCGTTACTGAAAGAAAATAATAAACGTCAATTTTAATTACATTAAATAACATTTGATTTCATTTGCTACATAACATGATTGTATAAACGTGTGAATCACATTCAGTTTTTAGACAGTGTATTTTACAGAAAATTTGTGCTTTTTAATTGGTTTTTTTTTTAATTATTATTATTAAATAAATTTTAAAGACTGCAAAATACAAATGCAAATTTTTAAAAATCTGCACTACACTCGGTGGTTGTCGTTTTCAGGTTACATTTAAAGAAGAAGAATATAAACGTAGCAAGTTGTGTTTATAATTTAATTATAGAATTTATAAAATTAGAAAATACTTTTGAAAATGATGATAAATGGATTTGTTTATAAATTTTGAATTGTCTTTATTCTTTTTTACGTAGGAACAGACTTAAAAACAATCCTGAGATTTACTTTAATATACAGAACATTTTTTAATTTTGTTCTCCTTGGGTTAAAAGAAATTCAAAGACTATTAATTAATTTTATATTTTGTATTACACCAAATTAATTGTGACAAAATTTATTTTATTTTTATAATTAAATATGTTCTTGTTACTAATTTAAATGTGTAATTAATAACAATTGCTACTTAGTAAATTTGTGAATATATACTCTGTTGCAAAAAAAATCAATGCACCTTAAAGCCAGCATATCAAATTCTATAAGTGGAAATGGTGGTGAAAAAATAATAAATTCATTACATCACAGCATAAGGATGCTTTGCTATAAATGTTAGAGATTGGAAATTGGCAAATGCATTCTTGCAATTAATGCAAACTGATCACTAATAGAGATGGTTTTACTACTTACAAGTACATAACAAAACTGTTCTTCAATGATGGATTCTTGTGCTGTGATGTTGTAATGAATTTATTTCTTGCTACCATTTCACATACAGAATTTGATTATTCTTGAAGGTGCATTAACTTTTGCAATGAAGTATATTTTAAGACATTAAAAAAATAAGTTTTTTCAAATTATCCCAAAATCTTAAATGGTTTTTTTCATTTTCCTTCTTTCTCAACATAATATAGTGAAATTCCATTAACCAGGCATTGTCAGGACTGGTGCGGTGCTGGATTATCGAATATTTCACCTTATCGGACGATGGAAGTTTTTCCAATTTTTTTCATTCCATGGACACAGTTTTACATATCTTTGTGTTTAAAACTGTACACATTCACCTTTTATGATTGTTTAACATGCCATTTCAAATTTTCCGGGCTATTCCTATCCTTGGTTGCCTTGAAACAAGAACACTGCATTTCAAGGCAACCAAGCTTTGTGCTTTGTACACTTTTATTGCATATAAATATAGACATACTCTATTTATCAATGTACATGAACAGCAATGTACAGCAGCTGTTTCTATGATAGTATGTTTGGAATCAATAATTAAGTATTTTTGCTTCTCATAGCAAATCCATGCACAGATATCTTTGGAAAAGTCTTTAGTAAAATCATGCATGGGCAAACTGGTTTTATCTTGCACATCATCATATCGTCTTGGTCTTACTCTGTTTCCATAATGTTTATATCGGAAGTTGCCAATGACTATGGTAAAGATTAATGCACCAATAACCCCAAACTATGAAATCGACGTGCCAGCTTTGCTGGCATATCAGATGCCGAGTTAACAGAATTTCACTGTAAAACAAATTAAAATATTCT